TACTACTAGTAAGGCACTTGTTACTACTAGTAAGGCACTTGTTCCTAATAGCTTCTTGTTACTACTAGTAAGGCACTTGTTACTAGAAGCGATGCACTTGTTCCTAGTAGCTTCTTGTTCCTATGTTCATTTCAGGTTTAAGAACTTTGTCATGGCAAACGTCTTCCACATGGGCTTCAACACCATCTGCCGGGGCCTAAGCGAATTGCGGTCCACTGCCACCCTTTTGTCGAGACTATCAATGAATCGCCCTGTGGAAGTCTTGCATTTGTCTAGTATAGCACAAGGTGGCAGGGGACTAATTTTCAGGGTGAGCTGCTCTAGATCTCATTTCTTGGAGCTGAAAAAACAGGCTGTATTGAAAGTGCCAGTGAGTTTGTATGGCACCGATTATGGGGCGAAACTGGAGGTGGTTTCATTGCCATCTAGGCAGATCACTGCTTGAAATTTTCACTCCAAATTGTTGATCTGATTGAGTCGCTGAGTCGATCAAAGCAAAACATGTACAGATCACCCTGTAGATAGTGACCGCTTCTCCATTTCAGGGGTATTTCCGCTCACAGCCTAGGCGTTTTGGCTTTCGTGGTGCTCTTTGCTGGCTCTGGCAAGGATTCGCAGGGCTGGTGGACTCATTGGTCATGTTTTCACCAACAGCGATACAACGACGAAGGTCGATTCTTGAGCCTATAGTCAAGTCTCTTTTTGGAGAGAGGAACTGTTGGTGTTTGCTGGTGAGTGAACGGGTTTATGATGGTCGAATTCAAGCTCCAACATGTTCCAACATGAGGGGCGTAAAGGATACGTTTCACCCAAAGCACATAAGTTGTTTGGTACGTTTGGTGCATCCCTTGTTTTGAAGACACACGCTCTTCCTTCCAAACGAATCCATTGACTCTTGGTGTTTTTGGGTATGCAAAACTCTCCCCAGGGGTATACGCGGGGTATATGCCTACGCAGTCCAGATTGGAGAAATCCAGTAGTTCAACTCTGGTACAGCACACCGCCTGTTACAAAGGCCCCTTCTTCTATCCGGTGGACGTTAGAGAGTTCATCCGCTGTATTTTTGGGATGGTCCTCACCAGCACTGGACGCTAGCAAAGGTCTGGGATCTATGGGACCGTGGGTTCGATCATGGTTCTTTTCTTCAGTCGTGACAACCACTGACATCCACTGTGGAATATCTGTACGTTCGAATCCGAGACCAAACAGTTCAAGGTCGAGGCACCGGATGTGGAAGAACTCGCTGGATGTGGACACCATGTGACCACACGTGACCGCGGGAACTCTTGAGGCAGAGAGTGTGAAGAAATCCGGCGAGTTGGATCTACCTGCGGGATATGATTCTGCGACGAAGTTGGATGATATTGGATGGACACCCGTCCACTGCTTTCCTGCTTTCTGGGCAGTGCCCAGAGCCTTGCATGTACAAGTGCAAAGGTGGAAGGGAAGTGAAACCCAACAAAGCTTTAGTCATATGCCGTATGGATCCAACTCCAAACCCATCGCACACACCCTCTCGGAAGTCGTGGTGGTTTCAAGTTGCTTGGGATCCCAGATTTAGGAAGTCGTGGCGTTGTTGCATTTGGTGTGGGGGAAACTGGTATGTGTCATTGTTTCTCTACTTGTTTGGCTCTTCTTCGTGGCCGGATTTTGGATGTGGAAGCGCTGGGAGAAGAACTTGCGCGGGTGCTGCTGCTCCGCTGCTCCGCTGCTCCGCTGCTGTGCGTAAGCTATGCGTGGAAACGATGAGGTTTTGAAGAGTCTTCCGAGTTACGAAACGATGCAGTCAGTGTGTGCATGATCGTGTGTGCGTTAAGAGAAAAGCAGGGGACTGTCGTGGTTTGTCGTTTACTGCCCCCGCCCGACAGTGCCGGACGGGAGCCGACAATTCTCGCATGACACAAGAACTCATCGCTGATGCTGCTCATCAACAACCCCGCAGTTCTATAGTTTGTTTAAGTTTTGACACTTACGCCCACCGGCTCTGCCGGAGGATTGCCTAAGGTAGCTGCAGGCCTTCTTTCTGTGGGTTCCTTTTGTTGGCATGGGCTTTGACCTTGTTCTCCCTTTTTCGTACCTCGTTCACCTCCTTTTGCAACTTTTGTGATTTTCACTTTTTCACCATATCCAAGTTTAAGTAAACAAGCCGCAGTGCTGCCAAATGCAAGAACCAAACTCAGTGCAGACTCGAGGGCTTTCCAATAGCACTGGGGAGAGGTATTGATAGTAGCTTTCGGGAGAATGATGTTTTTCCTAGTTGAACCGCAAGTTGTAACTCTCAGTTTTTGAACTTTTTCTATCAAGTCAAAAACACTAGAAGTTTTGCTAGGACTATGGTGGGACAGAAGAGTCTCAGCCCACACCAGATATGGCCCTGCTTTGGTTCCAAACACATTCAACCTGGAGAGGCTTGGATATTTGGCGGGTGTGGCAGGCGATTCTTGAGCCATGGCATTCCATGGCCATTTGTCCTTCGAACACAAGAGGTTGTTCCCAGGGAAACGGTTTGCAGGGATGGTGCCGCTTTCCCACCCGCGCCGCGGCTTGTTGGCTCAGTGTATGTTCACCAGGGGTGGAATAGTCTGAGGCCAGGGCTGAAAAGGAATGGTGGAAGATATGTTGGATTTAGAATCTGAAATAGCCTCCAACAAAGGTCCTTTCTTAAGTCCTGAAGACGTGCATGCAAATTGTTCACCATAAAAATCGTTAAGAACCACCAAGAGTTTGGAGGGTGGAAGAGTCTTGTTGACCATGGTAGCCCACTGAAAAGGCCGAAGCCAAACATGGTTTCCCCAACTTACAGGGCTAAGCGGCTCAGTTGGGACGACGGACACAGGAATTTGGTTCCACTGGGTCCAGCTGTGAGGATATGCCCGCTCTCAAGCGAAGAGGGTGGTGACCTATGAAGTTTTTCCTCCAAAAATGAGGGGAAGTCAACAGACGACCGACTACTACTAGTTGGTCCTCCTCCTCCTGCTGCTGCTGCTACTACTACTACTACTATTCCTACTACTCCTCTTGGACCTGGTGTCCATTTTCGGGGACAAATCTCTACTCGACCGACTTTTTCCTCCGTGAGCGTTTTTGGTCACCTGCCCCGATGGACCTGCCTGCGTTTGGGGGGCAGAGAAATCCCCGATGACCCCGTGTCTTCCAGGGGTGGCATTGGGAGACTGGAAGCAGCAACCTTTTGGTGTTCGATCTGTTGACCTGCGATGGAACTCGATAAGTGTGGGATTTCCACGGGGTTGTAGATAAGTGTGGGTGCCATATGATGCCCAAATCGACCATTCTGGTCTCGGCGGGGATGGTTTGCACCACCGGCATCAATCGTTTTCCACCACACGCAACCGGCACAGCCAATCCTCGACTCGAAGAACTTCACTGGTTCGTCCAAAAAACAGCATGGCATGACCCAGAAGATGATTCTCCTTGACGAAGAGGGCGAAGCTTCCATTTCCTTTCTTTTATTGGAGTGCAAGTTCCTAGAAATCGAGGGCCCTTTCAATCGCTTGGGTATTTGCACCAAGCTACTAGATGTCGTTGTGCAATATGCGCTGTTCACACCTTTGCAATCGTCGATCAATAAGACCTACCATGCGAACAATGCAATATGCATGTGCTCAACGATGTGCGTTTGTCTCTTGCTCAACGAAGAGTAGCAACCACTCTGGGAGGAAAATCCCAAGTGAACAACTCCGGATGAAGCTGAACAACTCCCCAAACACAAAGCGATCAAGGGGAAGATGTGCGTTCCGCGTTCGTCTTTCTTCACCGGCTTCGTCGGATTGTCCGGAGGCGGTCTCGCCCTCCTATGCCGCCATGGCAAGCGCCACGTCGGTGGCTGACCAGGCGCACAGAACATGTTGTCTTTGCTGTGCAAAAATGGCACCAGACCATGGTGAGGACAGATCTGTTTTCCTCCACAGACCATGCGCACAGTGCAGTCCGTGGTTGGCAGAGATTTTACCTTAAATCCCACACACTGCAAGCTGGACGGCTAGTGGATACCACAAGTGGTCAGTAGATACCCAGAGACTCTTTATATAAGTGGCTGCAGCAAGTGGTCCGATACCAGCCGGGACAAACATGGTTGTGGCTCACGGTGTTGCAATGCCCGTCTTTTCAGCGACTTTCTCACCAACGTCACGACGGAAGTATTGCACTTGCGATACTTTTCACTTCCAACCTAATAGCGTCCGATCGCTCCGTTCGGTGCCGCGATGCCCTTTGCTCCGTTTGTAGCTTCTTTGCTCCTACAGTAGCCAGGAGCCCCGCTCGTAGCGTCCATGCTCCTATTTGAGATTTCTTCCCGGTGGCCTAACGGGTTCAGGCAGAGAAGAAGGAGGAAGTGAACCATGAAGTTGGGATGAAGAGGGCGAGCAAATATATTGCTGACCAGGCTCGGCGCCCGGAGGTCGAAGGAGCGCCTGCACTCAGTTCAAGCCCCGAAGAAGGAAAAGACCCAAAGCCATTTGGCCAGGGCCTCCTTATTTTAAACCCTGTTTAGATCAAATGGCCATGTTACAGGTGTTGGTGTTGATGCAGTTGATGTGGAGGTTCTGACAGAAAGAGAGAGAGAGAGAGAGTCATAGCTTCAGGAAGATCGGACCGGCACGTAACCACCTCACTTTGGCATTCTGAACACCTCAAATGCCGAATATGTAAACGATGGCGTGCCACTGTGTTTGTGGGTCCTGTATTTGTGCAAGTTACCCTCAGTGGGTAGCCACTTCTGTGGCTGCCTTTTATTGCCTTTTGAAGCTTTCTACAAAGCCCAAGACCCCCTTGTTGAACGGCCAGCTGTAGACACTGTAGACGCTCATTTGGGAACAAGGCAAGCAAGCTCGCTTTCCTTGCTAGCCTTGTACTCTTGATGGAATAACATCCTATGCCTGCCGCCCTATACCTACTGACCTACTGTATGTGCAGAAGGCAATTGCGGATGATGTATCTCATTTGGAATGTGATACTGTGATTGCAACCAGCATGCTTTATGGACTCGGTGTTTGCTCGTTGAACGTCCCCACCCGGTCCCCGACCTTTTCGGCGCTCCGACCACCCTAACTCCGTCAGATGTTGGAGTCCCAGCATCTCAAAGTGCTCCACCAGACCTTGTCCACCGCCTGGAATAGGCGGGACAAGTTGGGACCTGCTTTGGACGAGTGGACCGGGACTGGTCCCCGAAACCGCATGAAGCGACATAAAATGGATGCCCTCAACAGCCAAGTTCTTTTTGTGGAGATATATTACAATTATGTACAATTTGGTGTTTCAATGTGTTTCGCAAGTGGTTTCCTTTTCATCTCATGGCCTTGTTTTGTCTTCGTAGCTGAAGCACATTCATTGTGTGGAGTATTGCAACATGAAGCCAAAACTTTTTTTTGTTTTAATCATGGATTCTTTGGATTGGTGGGGATGGGATGGAGAAGAATCAGGTTTGCTGCATGTTGGGGATTTCTGCATGTTAATTGATAGTGTGAACCACTGGGCAAGACCTGAGCAACTTGGGCCCAAATTCAGCAGCAATGAATGCAAAAAAACTATATTATACATCTGAGCCTGGGTAAGCTGGTATTCATGCATTCAACCCGAAGCCAGGTGTTTCTCGGTTTGTTGAGTACCAGGTCTCGAATCCTGGATTGTGGATCCGGGTCCCGAGTACCAGGTTGAACTTTCGTCTCTTCTCCGTTGCTTTGTAAGGAGTTGAGTTTCCCACTAGCTCACCCAGGTTTACGGGGTTGAACCGTGTTGAATCCTCACAATTCCTGGTTGGAGACGTCTTCCATGGTCACTTGACCTCAAAAATGCCAGGTCGGGCCAAGCCCAGTCGCTGCCGGCAGTGCTTGCACTCATGGGGCAGTGACTTGGTCGGGTGTGAAGCGTGGGAAAAGCGGCCTCCAACCTAGTAGCGATGGCCTCCTATTAGCAAGGAATCATTCGGAGACCCGTCACAGCCGTCACATCATGAAATTGAACTCCTGTCTGGTTGTTTTCGTTTGTTTGCAGATCTACTCTAACATAATTCTAAAATTGAGTGATCAAACTTCTGTTGCAAAAAGTGTGACATGGGCCGAAATATGTTGACATGGTTATATGATAGCAAGCTTGCTGATTGCAAAGAAACCTGCAGCCCCAAAAACCTTCTGCAATTGATCTGGGTCTCAAGTGGACCCGTGAAACACTAAGCCCCGGAACATACCTACGGGGAGAAACGATGAGAAACGGAGAAGTAACAGCTGTGACAGCGACTTGAACGCCAACCAACAGCTCACAATAGGAAAATATCATCTTGCAGCGCATTTGCTGTTTTTTGTGGTGCGAGCCAACTGATTCCCCAAGTCTGCCAGAGATTTCTTCTCATTTCCGTTCGTTTCTTCTTCGTCTCCAGGTGATCTGGTCCTCTCAGCACCTCTCTCGCCCAGGTATGGAGTGCAGCTCAGTCCAGAAGAGGTGCCGCGATCCGTCCTTTTTAAGCCGAGTGGGCGGAGCGTTTGGAACGGAGCTGGTCTTTTTGGGGAAGTGACACAAGGGTTTTCTTTTTTTTGTTTCTATTAGCGATGGCCTCCAACCCAAGAGTCAGTTACAGGATGGGTGGGTTTGCAGCTTTGGGTTTGGTGCGAGAAGGTGAGGTGATGGAAGTGAAGACTCGGAGGATGCGAGGCAAAAGGCTTGTCCGCTACAGATGGGATTTAAGACCCACCACCATACTTGAATGAACTGTTTTGGAAAGTGTTTTGGATGATGGTCAAGCCCAGTCTGACGGTTGTGGAACAATGCTCAACTCCGTGTTTGGCGCTCGGTGGGGAAGCTCCTCCCCACTTGTAAAATAGCAAAGCATGACTCGCTTCAACTCATCCAGCCTAGTATCTTGTTGCTAGCAGTAATCAGTAATGGCCTCCAACCCAATAGCGATGGCCTCCACCCGTTGGAAAAACAACACCTCCCTACCTGATCATTAAAATCGGATCTCCAAGGGTCAACACATTGCCACAAGAGACTTCGAGCCACTTCTTCTCCGGAAAAAGGCAGATGGAACTGATCCGCAGGTGGAGAAGATCAGGGTCATGGATCAAGATCAGCAGATCGCCGCCCTGGCCGGGATGCCCGGTCTTTCCGTTGTTTTCCGGTCGCTGTCACCGCTTCCGTCGGTTCTTTGGAAGCGGAGAAAGAAGCAGAACCGAAGGATACCGAAGGATGAGGGCCAAGATGAGCTAATTAGGATGAGAAGTGGATGAGAAGTGGGTGATGCGATCAAAAAGAGATGGGCAGGCTGGAGGTAGGATCAACCTGAACAGTGTCGACGATTGATGATCGTCATCTCCAAGTGATCGTTTTTTCCAAGGTGAACCAGATGCCGCAGGACTCACAGGAGCAGTTTCAGCAGTTTTTCCTGCAGCTGCAGGTCCGGGGCGCTCCACTGATGCACAAAATGTTGGCAGTAGAGTTGGGTCGTTTGCCCTGCAAATATCACTCGAAACGGGGAACCGAGTTGATGGTCATGGGGCCAAGTGATCTGGGATCCGAGAACCCACGGCACAAGTGGGAAAGGGGCACTTCGTTCCAGCAGCATAGGGGAACAAAAACACGTTTAGACTCACGTGCTTAGACGTGCTTGTTGAACGTACAGGTTGTTTCTGGGGTCGGCCGCCTAGTAATTAAAGGCACACCACCTCGGCATACCTCCAAAAACACTACAGTATGTGTCGTCTCTCATCGTCTCTCATTTGATGTCGTGGCTTTACAAACACGTGGAAAGCTCAGTTCCCACCCATGATACTCTCCCCAAAGATGAACATGTACGGAACCCCCACGGACCCCTGCAAGACGACCTTTGCTCGACAGACCATGCAGTGTCTCCATGTTGGCCTGCATCAAAGGCCTCCTTTCTTGGTGTCAAAGCTGTCGACTGCCACTAGTTGATGCTCACACGATGCCCTGGTCACTACTGTGTTGCAGTGGTTTCAGAGTAGATGGCACAATCCCCAATGTCGGTTCAATGGACCCCAATCTAGAGACATCTTGGGGTGTGCCATCTCTGAAACCTACTAGGAGCAAGGACGCTACTAGGAGCAAAGGGCATTGCTACTAGGAGCAAGAAGCTACTAGGGGCTCCTGGCCGTACTACTAGGAGCACAGGACGCTACTAGTAACAAAGGGCATCGCTATTAAGAGCAAAGGACGCTACGAACGGCGCTCCTGGCATCGCTACAACCGAGTCGGTTTACGCCGCGACCGCGGCAGCTCCTGGTGTCGACGGCGATGCGGGTGCGCGATGGCCTGGAAGACGGAGCCGTGGAGAAGGCGAGATGGAGAACAGACCTGCGGCGAGTGGGCACAGAAAACGGTTCGGTACAGACTCACAGTGACTCTGAACATTGGTTTTGATGGAGGATGATTGTTCTTGCAAACCAGATCACTAAGAGAAATGGTACCTCCTAAAAGATATTGCTTGGAGACTGCCTCGGACTACTTAAGGACCAACCTTGGCCCCTGGGATCAAGTTTCATCGTTTTTCTCAGTGGGCAATGTCCTGCAATCCATGTCGGAAAAGCATGGCGTCTTTCTGCATCTAGCTAGCCCTCGTGGCTGGGTATCGATCTTGTGCAGCGGATCCAGCGCTGGGTGTATCCCTGCACCTTGGAAGCGAGGTCCGCATGCGAACCGCACCAGGTGCAGATGGCCTTGGATGATGCCGACAGCACGGGGGTCACACAAGAGCTCCTGAGGCTCCTGACTATTCCGGGGGTCCGACTATTCCGGGGTAATAGGTATTCTTCTTTGCCGTAAGTTGATTTCACCTTCACCAATTCTGTCAACAAAGATTGACATCTGTGAGCCTGAGTATGCCTGAGCGGAGTTCTATGTGCCTCACACGGGTCAGCCCTCCGCGGTGTGGCTGCTTTTTTGTTCAGTATATGTCCCAGCAAAATGCGTTAGTTAAGTTAGGTCCGTTAGGTGTCAGCAGCACGTTGGGTGCTCCGTTGAGCTTCTTTAAGTGGGATGAGTTAGCCAAGCAAATTGAACCGTTGAACCGTTCCCTCCTTTTGAGAGGGATTTTCGAGCGAAACACCCGAAAAGCAAGCGAAAGGCAAATGGACTGGGGTCCAACAAAATATGCGACTCCGGTAAGCCCTCTGAATCTTGGTTGATTTCAGAGCATGTCCTTCAGAGCAGAGCATCCATAGTTGATTTCTTGTTGGTCGTCTCTTGGACATGCGTACATTGAGAACCAGCCTGTTTAGCAGGGGACAACGCCCACAACGATAGTGCTTGAAAGTCCTGCTGCCCCTTTTCACAGCAGAAAAGCCAAGCGACAAACCAACAGGATCACCATGGACACGGCTCACATCCATCGCTCGTCCCTCCATTTTCGGTGCCCACCGGCACCCCTCCTCCTCGCGTCTCGCGCCGGCCGCCAGGATGGCCATTGTCCAAGCGGGCAGCGAGGCGGGCGATGCGATGAAACATGGCGCGGAACTTCGTGGTGAACAGATGGAAAGTCCCAAAGACATGGCATTGAAAGGCATTTGACTCGAAAGCAAACTAAGGCCTATACTTCCATAGGTGGCTCTTTGGTCTGTACCAATTGCGAAAACCACACCAGTGCAATCGGCTCCAAAATCGTCTTCCCCCTCAGTCCATTCGGGTCGACGACCGGGCAGCAGGCAGCCCTTCAGATGAAGGAGTATGAGGCCAATCTCTTGGGATGGACGTATATCTCACAGGACTCAGGAAGAGCACCACCAACCAAAGGAGGTGACCAAATGGTGTCCCAAGACTAGTTGCCCACCCCTGAGATGGGTCAAAACAGGATTGATCCCGTGCTTTAGCGCTTACATATGTTTACAAGAATACAGTCTGGTTATACGAATGGAGGATGACAGTGAGATGAAAGGACGCGAGGTCATGGCAGAGTTGAGTCAGCAAAACCTAGGGGACAGACTGGCAAGAGCTTGTTCAAACTCAAGCAACCAATGAATGAAGCTTGGCCAAAGAGTCCTTTGGGTTGGCTCCTTTGGTTCCTTGAGAGTCCCGAGTTGACCTCGGGTGCGCGAGAGTCCCCACCCCCAAGAGCTTCGTTGGGTCAAGAGGTTTCAGCCTTCAGCTGGTCCGGACTGACTCAAGTGGACTGATGAGAAGCGGTCAGGGGATGAATGGGCCAAACGTGAAAAAGGGCGTCACTGGTTCATGCCCAGAACACGTTGAACGTCATCTGGTTGGCGTGTGCTACAAGGAACAGGTAGACGTCCGGACCACTGGCAAGAGCAAACATGGATGTGATGGGCTGGCAGGTCTCAGAAAACAAACCATGTCACAACCTACTGTTGCTTTAGTTCCAAAGACCGGGAATAGGATGAATAGCCAGGGGGTAAGCCTCTAAGCCCGAGCGCCCCAACTTCAGTTTTTCCTGCTTAGAAAAGGTTTCATGTTCTCCTCCAGGATGGCCTTGACACGCTTGGGTTTCGTTGAGTTGGCATGCGTTTGCGCGTCCGGGTCGGGCACAGCTCCCGAGAAGGATTTTGTTGCATGTTGAATCCATGGGCCATCATGGGCCAGGCGAGCCAACATGGTTCATTCTCTTTGGACAGTCCTCAATTCATCTCAATTCCTAAGTACCCAGCTGCCAATTATCAATCCTGTTTCACGTTCGATTCCCGGAGCCGGGCCGATCCATGGTGTTTAGAGAGGCAAAGTTTTCATCCGATTAGCCCTATGAAATTCTCCAGTCGCCAGAAGGCCCCACACAATCAGTTGGAGGTTGGTCCCAATCTCCCATCCACAGCCGGGCCCCGACAATCGGCCTCGGCTCATCAAGAAAAGATAAGAAAAGCCTTATTTGCCTCAGGTTGCTGTTCTTGGAAACATGAATTAGAATGAGGTAGAGGAGTATCGAATCTACTGTAATATAAGGAAAGAACATTGCTAGTAGGTTGGAGGCCATCGCTTCTAGGTTGGAGGCCACGATGAGGCTTAGAGTGGTAACAAAGTTTGCAAAGGGTAAAGAGGTTCAGATCACCTCTCTTGTGTTTTTGCCTCCAAACAAGCCTCAGAACTCGCAGCGTGGGTCGATCTGTTCCAGACACGGGGAAGCTGTGTGAGGCCTGGTGCTTGCAAACCGATGAGCAGATGGGCCGCTTGATCCGCGGCCAGGACCGTCGTCTCCGCGGGCGGGCGCGCCACGGTCGACCGTGGTTCTTTTTGCATCGCCCCAGGGTGAGGTGGTGTCCAATGAGAATCCATAAGTGATAGATTGGAGTTGTCATATCATATCTATTATATTGTGATTATTGTGTTTATATATATATATACACATTTACATACACACTTACTTAGTAAGAATTCAAAGGGAATGACGCGCAGTTGTCGTCGTTGGATTTGGTCCCTTTGGCCGGATGTGGTCGATTCTAGAAGTCGTCGCTCCCAAACTGAACATGATCCACCATTGGAATAGATTGAATGCACGCAAGTCTAGCCGTGTGCAGATCCAAGTCTAGCCAAGTCTAGCCAAGTGACTTGGGAGGTTCTCTGCGGCAGAGAGGTCAGCAGACCTCCAAGTCGCCAGACCTGAGACCTGGACAACCCTTGAGAGCGATGGCCTCAAACCTACCACCGATGGCCTCTACCCTAAGAGCGATGGCCTCGAACCTACCAGCGATGGTCTCCAACCTTGGTTCATGTTTGGTTTCAGAATACTCGGAAAGAGTTCCAAGGAATTGTCCACTCTCTAGGAAGAGGCCATGGCTGCCAAGAAGAAACTGGCGACCCTGCAGGCAGGAGGAAGAGTGCAGGAAGTTTCAAGGGCAATTCTTCATGGGATTATTGACTTTTCTCGGATCTGGCAATCATGAACTGGATGTCCTTCTGGGTCGCTGATCAACAAGCCCATGTCAGGGCCCATGTCATATCATGTGTATAACAACATATAACACCATTGAATACAACATGTACCCATCATGTACCCCCGTTAGGCATCTGCTTTTTCATGCCTTCGGATTAGGAGCTCCATTTGACAAAATCGTGCTGTTACGGGGTGAAACTTCCTGCTCCCCAGCTAGGGAGCGCTCTTCGGACTCCATGGCAAGACTCATACGTCAAAATAATTTGGAGCAAGGCAACCTGAGCAGCTAGCAGAAATCTTGGATTTCTGATTCCTGTGACAGTGACAGTAGCCTTGAGATTAGAGGTTCCTTACTCAGTAGGAAAGACAAGGAGGACATTCATTGCGCGGGCATGTAAAACGCTGCAACGAGCAGGACTTTCTCTGGAGAGAGTCCCAGGAATGTGATGACACCAAGCATGGGTCGTTGACATCTCAATGTGTGACAATGCTGACACAAAACGAACCCCGCTCCTTTGTCTTGACGAAACATGCGTTAGGCTGTCCTCTGTCTTCACGGGTGGGGACAGAAAAGCCGTGAGAAGCCTGATTGCCTTGATGGTGAAGGTTTACAATCGTTGACGAGTGTGGAACCTCACAAAGAGTTCAATGTGAAATGTCATGAAATGTCCTACTTCAGACGTTGATCAATATTTTTGTTCACCCACATCGTGCCAGAAAGGACGTGATGCGAGTATTCCATAGAACAATTGTATACACAATCAGTTTTCCGTCAGAAGCATTAAGTCTGACAACATGTCACGAAGTGTTTTGCTGAATACTAGGAACAAGAAGCTACTAGTTTACAAAGGGCATCGCTACTTAGGAGCAAGGACGCTACTAGGGGCGCTCCTGGCCTTATTCGAAGCGAAGGGAACTTCCGGGGAGGGCCTAAAATGGCCAACTCAACCCGTCAAAGTAATCTTCTCCTGCCACGAGGTTCCATCTCAAGCCGCGAAACCGAAAAGCTTGAAGTTGTTTGCAGAAAATTGACAAAGAACAATTGAAGCCTTTAAAACAGCACACACACAGTTGCTCCATAAACCCACAGATACGTACTCCCTATAGGGTTTGGTATTGGTTTGGATATAGAGGATATAGGGGATCATAGGAGACTTCTATATCCACCGTGTTCAAATCATTGTCACCGTGCGCCGTGCGCGCAGGGCGGACTGCAGCAGGACCGCCAGGAGCACTCCGAACGGGCCACTAAGGCACACGGGGCAGAACAGACGACGAGTTGTTGGTCGCTTGGAAACTGAAGAAGAAACCCCACAAATGTCATGTGAGTCATTGGTCTTTGAAAGTGGGTTCAGACCATCAAAATCAGTGTGGGCCAAATTGCATCGAAGAGCTGGCAACCTTCAAGAAACAAACAACAATCTCACCCTGGAAGGCACCTTTTCCAGCTGAAATGGGATCTCATAGGTCATTTGTCCATGTCCTGAGTTTGCATTTCGTACCCACTTTGGCCAAGACCGAAGGTCTTTTTCTCACCTTTTCTGACACACAATCAGCTCAAAGCCTCCGACCGCCAAACACGCAGACCTTAGGCCATACCTTCGCATATGTTATTTCAATCGTTTAACGTTCTTCCCCAACAATCTTGTCTATTTCTGGTCGCGAACACCAGTGCTAGAGGATTTCAAGCAGACTCTCCCGATTCACAAACAGCAGTGATACAAATGGATTGATCCGTGCATCTCTTGGACTTTATTGTGCACTACGGCCCTGTAACACATGAGCAGCCACTTTTGTTCATTCCTTGCTAAAGTAGTCTACGGATTGCTCTATTTTTTTGTCCAACATCAGTATTCGCTGGTGAACGAGAAAGGGCCATCACATAAACGAGATACTTTTCTTGATGACACTAATTACTCCGAACAAGATACTGTGATTTGCTACTAAAGTAGTCTGAACGAGATACTGTGACATGACCTCCTACTTACGTCACTCAAGTAGTCTGCACGAGATAGGGACCCCACATTAGTGTGTTTGAGTATAGCAAGTTTAGCAATGAAAAAGCCGTCGCTCACATGTTCTCTACCCTCTTTAGTTGTTGGTCAAAGGAGCCCTTGAGGCGGGTTTCGTCAGAACCATGATGGACCATGTTATAGCACCCCAAACAACCTTTGTTCCGGGAAGAAGGACCTGGCTCACCGCTGAAATTTGTCTGACTAACCCCGAGTACGTATCAACGGCTGACTCGTGAAAACACACACGGCCCCGAGTCCCAGTCACCTCAGTCTTTGGATATTTGTACAGTCTGTCACTGTACAGCTTATCGAAACAGTCCAACCGTCTTTGGGGCCCCAGTCAGTCGTAAGCGGCGATCAGAACGCACTGCCCCCAGCACGATCGCATCGCCGAGAATGTGGCAGACAGGAGTTTTCTCTGAAAAGAAGGGTTCTACCACTCAAGTTTTGTAACTCTGGCCGAAGACTGGTTCGACAACTGGTACTAGGAACAAGGACGCTACTAGGAGCAAGGGCATCGCCACTAGGGGCTCCTGGCATCGCTACGAACGGAGCATTCTTACTACGAACGGAACAAGGACGCTACTAGGAGCAAGGGCATCGCTACTAGGGGCTCCTGGCCTTACTACTAGGAGCAAGGACGCTACTACACACCACTTTCGTAAGTTGGAAAATGGTGTTTAGACTCTTCGGTGTTTGGGGAGGTGTGCATGAACTTCGTGCAGAACGACACCGCCTTCACCACCAACGCTTGTGCTTTGGAGCGCACACCCACCATCTTGTGGACGCTTGTGGAGGTTGAAGAGTCCCTTCATAGTGTGACTGAATGTGACCTAAAACAGGAAGGATCTCATCCTGCATCATCTCTTGAAAGACAAAACTTCTGGCTCTAGCTGGGATCTCAGATCATCATCCAAGAACCACCTCCTTTATCCGACTGGGAAAAGGCTAAGACCCTACACTCACAAACTTGACAGATGATTTGGTGGTTTGCAGGCAGCATGTTTGCATGAAGTCACGTTGCTTCCGCGGTAGAAAGGACAGTTGTTGGTAAAGTGGACAGACCAACAGTTGCTTGACAAGCGCTCAATACCTACTCTGATGGTAGTTGCGAGCGATAGAAACATTCAAAGGATCCCAACGGAATGGCTGCTTATGAAACCCCAATATGATGATACGACTCTCCCAATCACCAGAAAGCCTTCTTTTGAAGTGGAAGCATCTATTGCAATGAACGCTGGAAGAAGTCCTACCACGTGCACCTGAGATTGATCATGTTCTACTCTTTCCAGGTCAAAAACCTGTGACCTACCGTGATCTACCGCCAGAGTGACCGTTTCAAAGGTTTGGGTTCACACATTTCCCCCAACCAAACCCTGGCCACCATTTTTAGAAACGGCCATAGAAGGCTTTCCAGTATTATATAACTAGAATCAAGCTACGCACGGTGGAGGCCATCGCTATTGGGTTGGAGGCCATCGCTACGAACGTAACAAGAAAGCTGAAGTAGAAACCGGCCCATCCTTCGACCCAGGCTTCCAAGGTTGGGTCATGTGGGCCAAGCGCTCCAGAGAGGCGAGTGGGGAGGGGAGTGGTCGCGGTCGGGGCGAAAGGACGATGATTTATACCTAGAAAAACTATTAGCGATGGCCTCCAACCTAATAAGAAACAATGTTATACCAGTATAGATCCCAAACAGTTTCAGTAGGATCATGTTTGCGTCAGTTCCTTGAACTCCAATTTTGGTGGACACACTTGTAATTACATAGCCTCCAGTTGTTTGGGAGCAGCATGCAAAAAGAGAAACGATCTTTTTGGGGAACAGGACAAGGCGATCATCATGTTGCAACGCTGCATCATTGTTGCACTGATCGCCACAAGAACACAAACCTGGCCAAGGCGATACGGCAAGACAGTGGATCAAGGGACAACGCCGCGCGGCCAGGGCAGGACGCACAGACGACGGCGCGCACAGCAAGACGGGCAGGACAAGGGGCGCGGCCAACGACACAGGGGGCGTGGCATTTTTGGCCTCCTGAGGTGCGACCTCGTCCCAAGGCAACTGGCAACTCCGCAAAGTCTACGGAGCACCTGGTGCACCTGTGCATTTCTTCAAAAAGCCTGGTGTCAATACAGACTGGTCACCTCGATTTCGAGGTGTGGAGGTCGGAGGAGAGGGGCCTTCTTGTCGTGCTGATCAGTATGTCGACTGCCTTGTTTGCAATGGTCAAAACCGCAGCGCAACACTTCATTTGCAGAAACAGAACATCTTGGAGGGAGCAACAAAACCATGATTTTCGCGATGGCTAGGTGGCGTTTCCCATCCCAGCCAATGGAGTCTCTCCAAGTTTGCAATGTATTTCTAAATAGGTGTGTGTTTCCCGCCAAAGCAAGCTGCGCGCGTACTGCATCAACTTCTCTTCATTCAGCCAGCCAGTCGTTGACCTCTTTCGGGATTGCCACTATCAGTATTGGTACAGTCTCCATTGGTCTTGCATCATTGGCAATGTGCCAAATATGTCTTTTATCCAGCTCTTGATTTGGAAGCTTCCACGATGGTGCACACAGTCATTCAACTGTCGGACCTTTGCCAAGTGCCAAAGAATCACATTTGCTAGCCGCCATGCACAACTGGAGCCGGCCATGTCTCGCACCACATGAAATCGCAATGGGGATGTCCAAGATTATTGTTTGACAAAGTGTCCTATCGCCAGCCTCGTATCGCCAGACACACCAGTAATACTTCGGTCCTTCAATGACCGAAAGGTCATTACCCCTCCCCGATCCCACCCTTTGATGAAGAAATGCATCAAATCAACGACCCCCAAGGGGAGCCGTTACTCTAAACCCTAAAAATATAAACATATTGCAATAGCCATTTCACATACGGTCGCTTGCCAGGATCACCGGATGTCTTTTTGTTTGCTATTGTTTGTTCTGATTCTTGGATGAGTTCTTGCTAGTTTTGGGCTTTGGGCCATGGGTTTAATCGATGCTGCCTCTTTGTTGTTCCCTTGGTCCAGCTTGTACACATCATTGGCAGATTAACATCTATACTATAATACCTCAAAGCTCCGAAAACTCTTGGCTCAGATCGGTCTTGGAGACGTTTGGCTTTATGCAAGTCTTGGAAACTTGCAATCATGGCTGTTTCAGCGGAGTGCAAGAAACAAGTGATTTAAGTGCCAGTTGATGTGCTCACCCACTTGACACTCCATGCAGTGGACAACCGTTCTACGTGGTGCTTGGATGTTTCTTGGTGACATGATAAAACAACATAGCAAAACATTATATATAACTCGCTATAAATATAGATATACTTGTTAAAACACATCTATGTATCGAGCCTTCTACTATAGACTGTGTGTTTGCCCTGAATCATCTCCAGAATCCCCAAAATTCCTTTTGCAGGTGGGGTAGTGGAAGGCCACTTTAGCTTAGTTCCTCAAGCTGAGTCTTGGCCCATCCGGATTGACATGTCTAGAAACAAGAGATCATCTTTCAGATTGGATGGAGCATAGATGCCCCCAGACTTATGAATTCCATGGGTAACTGATGAGGATTTAAGCAATCTAACCCATTTGCAGATGTGCCATCAGGTCATGTTAGGTGGTGAAGGGAATTCCGGAGTGGCCCTTTTGTCAGGAAGCGGCCCTCAGCAAGGACTATGAGGAGTGGTCTACCCTCGACTGCGTTTGTCATCAGTGGGTTTCGAAGCAGGGTGGTCGAACGCGGCACGGAAGTTGGGAAGTTGGGTCCAGGCTGTTGGCCCATCGAAAGAGCACGCAGGTCTGGCCCCCGGCTCTTGCCTTGAACAAGGCAAGTTCCTTGAACATCCAGGTTTCAGGTCTGCCAGGTTTCACTACGGGACATATGTAACTTCAGCTGCCAGACACCGCCAAGAGGAATAGCACAGGGAGGTCAGCAGTCCAAATTTCACCCTCCATTTCTACGTTTGATGAATTGATTTTGGCCGAAGATCTTTATCCCGGAGGGTGGAAAGGTGTGTTTGCATAGTGCTGATTGTTTTGACATTGAATGCTATTTAGTACTGGTCTAAATAGCGGGTTGAATAGACACGCGAGCTACATGTTCATGTTTGCTACATGCGGCAGACAACAGCACGGTATGTTCTTGCCGTAACCAGTACTGGACTGATCAATCCGAAAGTCGGCACCCCTCCCTCCTCAGCACATGTGGCCCTGAAAGCACTGGTATTTGGAACATATCTAATGATTTGGTTCCTAGTAGCTTCTTGTTACTAGTAGTAAGGATGCTCCGTTCGTAGCGATGCCAGGAGCCCCTAAAAGCGCCTTGTTCCTAGGAGCCCTATGTTTTCGCGTTTTCCCTTGAACCGTTCCGGCCGTTCCGTCACGGCCCTCAGTCCTCACAGGAAAAGATTGAACGAGTCCGTCGCAAGACGCAGGGCTACAAGTGCGGAGGCCCTGCCGGCGGCCGCCGATCTGAGGCGATTCCTCGCTGGGGCGAGGAACCTTCACCGACTTGGGAGTGGTGCGATTACGCAGCAAACCATGCGCGGTTTCAAACAGATCAGCATGGATTCCGATCAACTCGTGAAAAATGGCGAATGGAGAGGAAAGGCGGAGCCACTGGCCCAGATGCTCGAGAAAACCAAGGCCGCGGCACAAAGACCGAGTCGACCAGCGGCTGCCGAGCGGCCGCTTCCGACAAAAGATTTGGTCACATGGCCAGACAGAGCCACCACTTAGGTGGGAAGCATTTGCTCTTAGGTTGGAGGCCATTGCTATTGGGTGTGAAGCATTGGGCCGCCATTGCATGCCTTAGCATGTGAAGACAAAGGCTGGCGCCCATGAGACCTCTAGTGTCGTGGGTGACGTTGGTTGCCATGGCACACGATCACTTCCCACAGGTCCACCCTGGAAGAGATGCAGTATGTCAGACGAACAGTGGAAAGTTCTCTGTGCCATCCAAACAGTGCAGACATCAAGTCCTGCATGGAGACTACTGGGTCCGTGACAAGGACTTTTGCACTCACAACATCTATACGATCACTGTGGTCACTTTGGAAATCGATAGTTTTGAGGTACATTTGGAGGTTGGTTTTCATGTTCTCGTCCTTGTGCTATTTCAGGAAGTTCAGGAAAATGATAAGGAAAAGCAAATATTTGGACATGAACCATCTCTAGGATGAATTAGCCTATGCGTGGGGTCAGGTTGACAGTACCTCGCAATTGATTGCCCTTTTGCCCCAGCAGCCCCTCCCTAGCCTGCCTTTTTCCTCCCCCGCCCAATTGGCTCCCAAACCTTTGTTCTGAGCATGTCCTGTTTATCAAAGGTTCGAGTGTTCGAGCTGTTCGAGTGTTTTCTTCAGGCAAAGAGACACATTTTTCCACCCCTTGGGTGGTCCCAGTCATGGCTTTGGACACATGTTTTGCCTTGGTGTTGCCAGGTTGTTTGCGTACACGAAGAGAACACCAGGAAATTGTTCTTTTTTGTTCTTTACAACCAGGCAATCAATTCTTGTAAACCTACCCCACCCTTGTGGCACCCGTGATGCCTTTATCGAATAACTGCATTTCCCTATACCTCATTTTTTGCCTTAGTAGAGCCAAGGAAAGAGGGAAATTGAATTCAAAAATCTCAAATCAAAAACAATCCGTTGATGGAACTGGTTGGTCTTCACTTCCAGTTCGCCCGAAGGGTTCCCAACGGACTGTGCGTCCAGCAACAGCTGGTCGCATCGAGGAAGAGATCTTTGGCAAGCCTGCGTGGTTTAATGGAGAAGAAGGTGGGCCGAGCGCCAATCAGGTTGGTTGGCCGAATTTCACAGACATGTTCTGTCAAAAAAATAGTAAAACGAAATTGTCGATGGGTATTCGATCACTCCACAGATGGCCTGATACAGGCACTGGAATGGCAAAACTTGTGACACGCCTTTCACTTTCATTGTATAGACACATTTGCCACTGGCTGGTGTACTTTGATCGTTCCCATTAGACGGTCATTCCGGTTCGGAACTGTGGCTGGAAATGCTTCTCGAGTGGCAGTCAAGTGATTTGTGTGCCCGGCAGGCCGTTTTGTCCAACTTGCAACAGGTTTCGTTTGGGTTTGAACTGCGTCAAAGAAAGCACACCTTTAGGAGAAAACCGCTGGTGAGCGATCTTTAAATACAACATGGGCGTGCTCAGTCACCAGATGACGCACACGTCAAAGAATTGGGCCATGAAACTGCTTGGGTTTGCAGGCCACGACCAGGCCGACTTCGCCCAGAAGACACCGTTCTTTCCTCTAAAGACGGGACTATATAGTGGTGTGCAGGGCAGTGCCAGCCCAAAACATCACAGGTAGATGTTCTACTACAACGGAACCCCCAAACAAAGTAAACAAATACTAGCGATGGCCTCCACCTTAGTAGTGATGTCCCAAGGCAGAGAAGGGCGGAAGACTGAGACCAGTTTGGCAGATTCCACTGGCACAACCACCAGTCCATCGGTTCCTGTGCTCCGGGGAACCGCACGCGGCCAGGCCGTGGCGCGGGAGGCGGAGCTGGTCTCCGAAGTGCTCAAGTCCTGGCCTGGAGCCCCGGAAAGTCGCGAAGGATGTGAACAACGTGTTACTAGCTTCTTGTTACTAGTAGTAACAAGTGCATCGCTAGTAGTAACAAGTGCCTTACTAGTAGTAACAAGGACGCTACTAGTAACAATAAGCTAATAGCTTCTTGTTACTAGTAGTATGGCCAGGAGCGCCCCGTTCGTAGCTTCTTGCTCCGTTCGATTCGATGCCCTTTGCTACGTTCGTAGCTTCTTGTTACTACTAGTAAGGCACTTGTTACTAGTAGCGATTCACTTGTTCCCAATAGCTTCTTGTTTCTAGTAGTATGGCCAGGAGCTACTAGTAGCTTCTTGTGACTAGAGCACTACGCTACTAGTAGAAATGCAGCGATGTACGTTCTAGTAGCGGTCACGGCGCCGTGACGGCGCAAGTCGTGCGGTCGCACAAACGCCTGGGCGGTCCCTGCCGGTTCGCCATGGTTTTTGGAGCCTCGTGGAGCCCAAAGCGGCTGGGGACTGGTGAAATGGCGCGCAAAGGGGTCCCTGGAGTTCCCGGAGGCAACATTTGCTCCTCAGTCTGCGCGATGGCCTGAAGCTGCCAGTAGCGATGGCCTGAAGAACCTTCGTGGCGATGGCCTCCTTTTCTGCTTTGCCGAAGCCATCCGAAGCCTTTCCTTTTGCATCTTTTTGGTCTGCCATCTCGGCAAGTCGCGCTTTCGCTGGCCCCCCTGTCCAGTTCTGGGTAAGCGTCTTTCTTTTTCTGGCAGCATGATACAGTAGCATGTCTTTTCCATAGAAAGCCAATTTCCACCGGTGTAAACGTGCAAGCTGACCTTCTACGGCATCGGCGAGTGTCAAGCGCTCTCGCTCTTGTCAATTGCTGATACTATGTGTTTACAGAAACATGATAAAAACATGGGTTGCTGTTGGAACTTGATTGCAAAGTTTTCAACACATGGACTATGATTTAGGTGGACTGACTATGTGTTGCTGTTAATCGTTGAGTCCCTTTTAGACAATACTTGTACTGATCTTGACCCAGTGTCTTTGAGGTGACGCTGTTCTTGAGGCAAGCCTTGCCACCGGCACAAAGATCTAAATAATTCATGGAAACGACCAGCAGAAACATCTGAAACCACAGTAAAAGACAAGAAAGTGGTGATGTACAATATATTTTGCCAACACATGACGTGGTTATATGACGCAACCAAAAAGCAACAAGTTAAGACATTTCTGCATTTTATCCACATTGCAGGAAAAGCGACTAAGTGGTTTTCCAGGGTGACTGGTCCAGAAGATTATGTCGCATGACGTCACACTCGAGACCGAAGTTCTTCTTGACCCACAAGTTGGGGCTACTGGGTAGAGTAGCAACAGTAGCGTCCGATCGCTCCGTTCGTAGCGATACCCTTTTATTACTAGTAGCGTCCGATCGCTCCGTTCGTAGTAAGGCCAGGAGCCCCGTTCATAGCGTCTTCCTTGTAGCGTCCTCACGGCTGAGGCACCACGCAGTGAAAGAGAAGAAGGAGACCGATGCACTCGCGGTCCAGGCATTTGGAGTCGACCCTCGCATTTCGACGAAGCGACCGACTAACACAGCTGAGAAAGGACCAACGTTTTCTGCTTGGGAAGGGCCAATCATCCGACCATAGAACCCCGTTCCTCCCACTCAAAGCGCAGCCGTTTGTTCCGCCAGTGCCTCGCTTGTTCAGACCTTTAACCACTAGCTACACTTGCCTAAGTTCGATGGCAAACCCATGCAAACCTCATTGAAGCGCTTTTGTTGTGGTGCTTTTTGAAGAACCCTTCCAAGAAAAAAATCCAAGTCCATGTTGTCCAACCTTTCCTGTTGATGTACCAGGAAAGGACTCCAGACAATGCGTGATGGCTTACTTCCTCATGAGAGCCAGACATGTGCTGCCCAAAGTGGTGAGATCAATGGCCTCCAAACCCATCTGTGGAAGACCATTCGTCACTTTCATGAGAGACCTCGAGTGAACATCGTCATCCTCTATTGTGAGCGGTTACAAGTAAATTTGAGTCAAGCGCTTACATTTACCATCCTCTTCCAAATCTCTCAAGGACTCGAGACATGGTGTCGTTGGTCTTCCCAAAATCGTGCTCGAGACATGATCCATAGTAGCCGATGCCGTTCGTAGCGATAGCCCTTGCTCCGTTCGTAGCCTATGCCAGGAGCCCCGTTCGTGGAGGGTTCAACGCTGTGTGGTGCGTTGCCCTGCCCTTTTTCGGCAGGTGGATGTGGTGAACAAGCGCCTGGCGTCGATCCAAGGGGCTCAGAAGGAGACGACGAAGCGAGTGACTGGGAGCCGTTGGTGACGAAGCGACGTGCAGGTCGGAGATGTTCGGGCGGAGTTGGTCTGGGTAAGTCTTAGTCAGATTTAGACTGGGTAAGCATTTGGAAAACAAAAACACATGGACCACGTGGATCATGTTGTGTCCAGAGGGACCTGGATAATTTGTGGGGTCAAAACGCAGATAGGACCGGTAAGGAGGAGCTGGACTTGTGAGCCCCACAAGAGACTGGTGTTTACCAAGAGACTGCTGAAACCAGTCACTTCTGAAGCTTTTTGATTCGTCTTTTTGAGTGGCGGAGCAATTTGCGAGCTTGGGCCCTTTTTCGCCCGGAGCGGAACTCGCCGGAGGCAAAGCCTTGTTTGGGGTGCTAAAGCAATATGTCCGTGAAACATGCTTGTGGGAGACCGTGATATTGTTGGCCCTGAGGTGATTGGTAAGTGAGAGCTAGGCAACCACCCTAGGCCTGGTTGGGTTCCGGTCCCTTTTTGAGGTGCTTCGGGAACCGCTCGGGGCTGAGGTGATGGATCGTATGAGCTCTGCAGCCATGGTGAATTTGATGTCTTTGACCTTGGAAGGACAGGTGGAGTGGGCTCCATCTCTGCGTGAGCATTGGGGTGACGGCACAAATCCAGGAGAAGAGAGGTTTTGGGCCCAAGAAAGTGGTAACAAGGACGCTACGAACGGGGCGACCCTGGCCTTACTACGAACGGAGCAAAGGGCATCGCTACGAACGGAGCGATCGGACGCTAAGAAAGTGGGTGTAAGTTGTAAGTGGTTTAATTCCAATCGTTTGTTGCATGTACTGAACGGGAACACAGACGTGCATGTGCCTCCCAGACAAGCGATCTGCCACTCTTGGACGCAAGGCTATGCCACCTGACATCTATCGGGAACATTCTAGTCATTGTTTCTTACTTCTCACAGGCAATGCCGGAGTGTGTTTTGATTCTTAAACAGGTCTACTATCTGGGACTGATGATTCATTTGGCTCCTGTTGACCTTTCTCACCTTGGCTCTCTAGCTCGTTCAGTAACTCCAAGAGTAAGAACAAAAATCAAGTTCTTGGTTTGATTTGACCACATCGTCTTGATTTCTCAAAACAATCCTGTCGTGACCGCAGGTTGGTACGAAGAGGTCAAGGATAGCCAGAAGCGCCGGGTCGGCTGGACAGACTTCACCGCGACCGGTCGTTCGTGGGGTCCGAGGAATTCTCTTCATTCATGTTTATTTAAAGTGAAGGGCAAGCAAGGAGTCTAACCTCTGTGGTCAACTGGTTGTTTAAATGTTTTTATATACGTGCCAGGAGTTCTCAGGGTAATAATTCTCTTCTGTGACATGGAATTGGCCATATTGGCAGTGTCTCAGGGTGCTGCCCAGTGAACCATTGGTCAGTGAACCATTGGTCAAAAGGAGAGAATGACATGTTCATGTGTCGTTCTAAACAAGCCGTATACAACACATGACTGATCGGCAAGCAGTTCAATTTCACGAAGGCATGCCCACTGAACGTTGTTTTGACGCACAACATCCCGGATGGCTCGATGCCCTGTCCAGGCCTAATAAGAAACACCATTGGCGCAAACGGGCGAATCTGCATGGGTTTGAACGAAGTGGCAAGGGATCATTGTTTGAGGAGCTCGCGTAATTGAATCCACCTGAGCATCGGTTGCCCGCCGGGACACCTACTGCGCCCCGCAGCAATGGAGTTTGGACATGTTTGTCACTGGTGGAAGGCATTGCCTGATGCTCACCAAAACCCTTGTGAAAGAAACTTGAAGACTAACGCCTTACTCAAGCGGCTGGCTGACGATGAGCAACCTCTTTTTTCCGACTGCAAATTTACAGCAGTTTTGTGCGTCTTCCTCATAAGTCAGAAAACTCCAACTTTTGGGTGTCCAAACCGTTGTAGATCTATGTAACATACACCAACACATATCAACGGCCCAAACATCTCAGGGGAATTGATCAGTTGTTATAGATGAAACCAAGCATTGCCGCATTGCTATTTGTGGGTCCCTGTCATTTTGGGCCAGACCCTTCATCCTCCCAAGCTAACATCGACCCTGACAAGGATTGCAGAAAGGCAGTTGATCACACTCACTGTTTTGGTAGCGTTTTCAATTTGAAGAGAAATCCTTTCCATCTATTTGGAAACACCCTGTTTCAACCTCGAGACTGCTGGGCACCTCAGCCCAAAAAGACCAAACCGCATCGTGGACGAGTGGCCGCGTGGCGTGGCCAGGGTGAGCATGATCTCTTGGCACAAACTCAAGCGCGCATCCACGCCTACTTGAAGGCAGGGCGGCTCGCGTGGGCGGCTTGCGTGGGAGGCTCGCGTGTGGAAGGACAACAATGGACTCCCATATGGACTCGGTTCCAAGTGATTGGAATGAAAACATCACGGTGAACTTCTGGGGGGCATTGACAATCCAGTTTAAAGCCATGATGGGCTGTGGATTTCAGTTTAAGCTTTTGCAGGTCCAGGTGTCTGGCAATTAAGAACCCATCCTGTGGGGTGGGCAATCGACCAAACATGTTTGACAGTCAATGTTGCTGCATAGACGGTCAAAGGAGATCCCCATTCCTTGGCACAAAGACTTTGAATTCGCTCGCAGTTGTCGATTTAGCACCAATGAGTTTGGCAGTGACCAACCCAGCAAGGAAGAGAATCAGAAGAAGAGCACCCGCTCACCATCATGTTTATCCAGACCAGACGTGCCCAACGCTTTTTAGCAGGACATTTGACTCTCAACCTAGTAGCGTCCTTGCTCCTAGTAGTAAGGCCAGGAGCCCCTAGTAGCGTCCTTGCTCCTAGTAGCGAGGCCCTTCGCTCCTAGTAGCGTAAGGAAGAACACAGTGACTTCTCTCCCGCCCACGGACGTGGACGTGGACAGTCCACTCGACGTGGGTCATGTCTGGGATCTTCGATGCTTTCGATGCCTTCCAGGACAAGAACGAAGCGTCCTTGAAGGCGCTTTCAGGGATTGGGAGGCCATCACTACGAACGTAACAAGAAGCTACGAACATAGCAAAGGACATTATTAGTAGAATCTTGCTTGTACAGTAGAGTCATGTAGAATCCCTTATTTGGTGCCCACACAATCCAACACATCGCTTTCTAGGACATCAAGAAACTAGTAGGTTGGAGGCCATTTCTACTATGTTGGAGGCCATCGCTAGTAGGTTGGAGGTCAAACACTGTGTGTTCAACTGATCTGTACCCTCCGTTGTGGAAAGTGGATGAAAGAGGGACATGCTCCTATAAGGTGTTCGTACGAATTTGTAAAGGTACTCTGATATTTGGAGGTTGAAGTTCTGCAGGGGGTTCATTCTTCGGAGATATTGGATGACATGAGTCAATGCTTCTTGAAGTTGGAAACTTTGCTGGGAAGCACAGCTCTTTGCTATCTCTCACAAACCGTTTGAGCGGCTTCTGAAGCAACAGGTTGAGATCTTTGGTTTGGTCCTGGTGGTTGTTCATGTCCGAAATATATCCCTTTCTCTCCCTGCAACGTAGTAAACTTGGTGTCTTGGGACTCTCCGCGGTCTTTCCCCAAGAAAACCTTCGGCAGACGAGGACCAATCAAGGGCCTGTTTCGGTTTCAGTGGACTTTGCTGCTTTGCTGAACCTCAGAAGTTTCCGGATCCATGTGGGGTCCTTTGCTGGCGTTGGAAAAACAAGACAGAGAACAACGACTGAATCACCTGCCTTGAAGACCTGTGACAGGTGTTGAAGCTACTAGTAGCGATGCCCTTTGCTCCGTTCGTAGCGTCCTGCGACCTGTGAGGTGTTGAAGATGGCCTTGGGTGGCAGTGAGACCAACATTGCGACCCAGGCGCGCTCTGAGGGATCGAAAGCATCCAAAGGGATTGAAAGCATCGGGTTGTCAACAGCTGGACTCGCCACGTTTTTGAGGTGTTGGGTTTGAGATGAGTTGATAAAGAAACGGTATTCTTTTGGTTTGGTTTTGGAGACAGTTTCTCGCGTCACTGAGACCCTGCATATGACGGAAGTGTATATGCATGACGTAATCGAGATTTTGGCTATACCCCACAAAAAAGATCAAACAAGAAATGGCAGAAGGTCTCGAACCAGGTTTTGAGTGCCTGGATATAACACTGAAAGCAACATAGACCTTATCCAAGTCTTAGTGGTGATCTGAAGATATGTTAAGGAGGTTTTTCTGCTGGGAGATGGAACAACCTCACATTGCCTTGTTTGGTAGCACTTGAGTGCTCCGGGATCAACAGAGGACTTCGATACCGAATACCATGTGTGCAAGAGTTTGATATATGATTCGGTTGTGAGTACCTCTATTTGATTTCTGATAAATTGCACACATTGTGCTGTACCACTTTAAGAGCTGTGCGAGGACTTTGGTACGAACTGCTGGAATGACAGTCAAGTCAGTATTATAGTATTTGGCAAGACTGCTCATGTTCTCAACGAAACACCATGATCGACAAACATTGTTGGTGGTGGATTTTGAACCCACATGCCACTCCTTGGTTTGATACTGAACAAGTACCCCTCGTGAGGCATTCGCTTGCTGGAAGTCAGAATCTGAGAATGCCAAGTACCAGGCCGTTGCGCTTGGAGCGAGAGTAATTGATGCGAGTGAACCACTCTACACATTGGTTGCTTGCTCCTGCTTTTGCTTGGTTTTGCTCCGTAGTTAGTGTTTTGTGTCGTTTTGTTGCTGGCAGAGACACACTGGTCACATGTTGTAAGTCTGGAACGAGGGGGACATGGTTTCGGAGATGCACTTGCGGTGTTGGTGTTCCGAACTCGCTGCTGTGGTGGGAACCATGAATTGGACGACGGTGTAGCGTTTTGACTGTTTTAGGCATTCCTCAAAGAGCATCCCTCCGAAGCTCTTCGAGGTGAATGGAGCTAATCTTTGTTTGGGGGCCTTTTTGGGGGATCCAAGAACCCGTGTTTCTGCATGAAGCCATAAACGCCTTTGGACCAGACCGCGGCGATCCTGCGGCAGAAGGGGCTTCGGTTAGGTTGTCTCGTGACTAGGCAGCTCGGTCGGTCCATGAGCAGCGTGTCATGGTGAATAGTGGTCACTGGTCCAACTCCGGAGAACAACAATGGACGGCAGATGAAGAACGGTGTTGTACATGAAGGTCGTGGGTGCATATAACTGTATATATTATATGCAGATGTGGTTGAAGCCACCGAGTTACATGTGAGGTGAGATGGCAATGGCCAGCAGGAGTATCTCACCATTGTGTTGGTTTGACGAATCTTTTCGTCCTAGCCAACATCGGATGGTGATCAAAGTGAGTAAATAGACTCCCGGCCCTACTACACCAGGCAGGGGATGCACTTATATATCCAAGAAGGGAATAGTGCTTGAGATATTCAATAACCTCATCTGCGCAATGCCTTTAATGCTGCTTGTACAGCAGGCCGAGTTGGAGGCCATCATGAGGGAGAATCAGGAACGAGTCAAGGCCGGGTCCATACGGGATAAGGGGCATGTGGGCAGGAGAAGACGAAGCAAATGACCATAGTCTGACCCCATGCCGAACCTGCCCAAACCACGAAACTGCAAGGAATCCGCGAGACGATGAACATCCTTCCCCCCCGATGTTCTTCGGTTTCGACATGCGTTCGACACTTGGACTGTTCATCGTGTGGTGCAGGAGGTTCGTCGTATTTCCAATGGAGCAGCGGTTGTTCGTGCACGCAAAATATTGATCTCAGGAGTACAAAGGAGGGATGAACTCACTTGGGCACCTCGGAGGACCACTTGATGTTGCAAACGAGGTTCCCGGTCGTGAAGGTCACCAGGGTGACCAATCATGTGCAAGACCTTCGGCAAAGTGATCGTGACGTTCAGGACCAATCAGAACAGTCAGTCGTTTTACCACTAGATGTGCTCAATTGTTTTTTCCAATAGGCGTTGGCTGACCATGCGTACTCTCCTGGCACAACAATTTGAGGTCCTCATGGACCAGGCTCCATGGCTTCCTCGTTTCGTCCATGTTCGTCGCGTCGTTTCGTGTGGTGTACTGGTGATGACCGAGGTCGAACTTACAGGGTCACGGCGGACCCAACAGCCTGCCGTGTATTCTAGGTTGAAGAGAGTGTGCATCCACGACAGATGCTGGGTACTTTGCGTTGATGTCCTGCCAAGACGCGAACCCACTGACTTGGGGCAAATGTGTGATGTTCAGAAGCAAAGTACTGGAAGATACTGCACGCTTTTGCAAGTGAAGCGTTTTCATATTTGCCAACTTCTGTGAACCACTGCAGGTGACCAGTGGACCGGAGGGTTATAAAAAGAACAACGCGACCAACACCTCTGGAGTGATTGGATTTCAATCGTCTAAGGCATTCCTTCCGAGTTTTTGGTTCCTTGTTTCACTTTCTGAGACCTGGAAGAAGGATGGCTGGACTCAGCCTGAGGTGGGAGAACCCAAAGAAAAAAACATCTGAAAAAGCACACGGATTCCGTGTCCGGCGATTCGTTCACGGATCCGTGAGTTCTACGGGCAGTCCGTCCGTTCGTGGCCGACATGACACGGTGGGAGTTGCGCGTGTCGACCTCTGAGCTCAGTCTCAAAGGGGAGAACGACTTGATTTGGTCAACGACTCAGATCAGCAAAGCCATCTCCGTCCGGAAAGAGGATCATGTGGGGTTCGTACGAAGCTCATGAGGCCCTTTCGCACGTTCCGTTCGCACGTTCGGTGTCGCCAGGAATACAAAGAGCGCCACCATGCGGCCGCTGCCTCGGCCATGAAGCGCGCGGCTCGGTGGGGGACCTCGATGAAAGTCGAGTTGGCTGTTCCTACTAGCGATGGCCTCCAATGGCGTCCTTGCTACTAGTAGCTAGTACAGCTAGTAGCTTCTTGTTCCTAGTGGTAATGCCAGGAGCTACTAGTAGCTTCTTGCTCCTAGGAGGATTCTCTTCCTGGCCTTTAGGTGATCGGAATTTCAGTGGCTATTCCACTTTTTGATCGGAACGTCGTGTCCAAGGCGTCGCAAAGTTCGTGGTGCAAGTTGAGTAAGTCGACTAAACGTGCAACTCTCCCCCTGTCTACGAAACGAGGGAGATGAGAAGACTGGATTGACGCACCGCATTGAGCTTTCTGTATGAAGACAGCTGCTATGCCACCGCGATCAGCCGGTCTTGACGCCGCGGTCTTCACGTGACTCGTTGGCTGAAGATGACACTGCGACCGAGCTTCGCAGATCTTTGGAGAAGCTCCGTGTTTTTGACGGTGATTGTGATCTGATTCATGATGCCATGATTTGATTTAATGCTTGGTGCTGGTACATCCTCTTTTTGAAATGAATTTGCATGATGTTGCACTGTTCCCAACGCTGCTTAGATCTTGTTGTCTATCTTAGGACAGTTTGGTGTTGTGAGCACTGCGATGCTGTTGCTTGCGGGTTGCAACACATGGCCTCACACATGGGAAGCAATTGTCAGACCTGTGTGTGGACCTTCACGCCCATTCCGGTCAGGTCAAGGCCTAACATGTACGACTGCAAAGCAGCAAGCAAGACTGTATATAGAGGGAACATAAGGGTGAGAAAGATGGGTTTCCTGAACAGGCAGAGCCAAAGGAAATGATCCCAGGCTCCCAAAGGTGGAGGATGAAGGAACTGCAACCTATTGGTGGATTCACCCGGAGAGTCCAAGGTGAATAACTTTTGCGTCGAAGATGAATCCACCACATCACCACAGCAGCTGTGAGGAAGAAGCTCATTGGATTCATTGGTAAAGTCAGAATGGAATGACAATCCTTGCCCGGATATGGTCTTGTTCTCAACGTCCGGCCCATGCTGCGGGACATGACGCGTGAGGCGCACAAGGATATTGTTCTGCAGAACCCTCTGCTGTTTGGATGGGCTGGATGTCGTTGTGACTGTCAGGGGTAGATGCTTTCAGTTATCTATGGCAAACTTATTAGAATTCTTTTTTTAAAATGCATTTCGTGGGCCCTGTTCGCAAGCTGTACATGTTGGGGCAACATTGCCCGCCTCTCTCCGACATCAAAATTCTTCAAATTCAAGAAGACAATTCTTGACAAAAATCCCGGATGCAGCGGTACTTGTAGGTTACAAACCGGCTCCAAGGGGCTCAAGTAATCCCAGGTGAGCCGCTGTGCCGCGACTGTGCCAAGGATAAGAGGTTCTTGATTCGAATCAAAGCTGCAAAAAGAATACTCTCTTCGGTTCATTCCTCTCAGCCTCAACCCGATCGGGTGGGGCGCTTGGCCTACTTTCCCCGCCGTGCCCAGCACAACTCGGGACACGGTGATGGAATGAAGATGAGAATTCCAGGGTTGTCTATCACTGCACCCGATGTTGCCTTTATGAAATCAATGATGATACTGTTTGAATCCTCTCTCCCTTCCACATCAAACATTTTAGTAACATTGAAAGTAAGTAAGTAAGTAAGTTAAGTTATTGGCATTAAAAATAAAATGTTTAAATACTGATGGTCTTTGGACGTCTTTTTTGCATTTCATTTATGTTTCTTACGATTCTTACGGGATTTCAACTATCTTTCTGACCAACATCCAATATTTGAATCAAGGTGTTGCAGTATGTTTAGAACATATTGCGCATATTGGATCTTGGAAGGTAAGAAATAAACGGTCTTTCGCATTAGCAATAAGAGAAATAACAAATTTGCAAAAGACCCTTTTCACTGATTCAAAAGACCTCCAAATTACCAACCAATTGGACATGATATCTCTAGACAACAAGAACTTCTACAATGTAGTCATTAATTACATTGCATGGCCGATTTATGATCTCCTTTTAGTGCCTGGCTTGTTTGGAGGATCTGGAAATTACTTTGTACAAATCTTTCAAATGTCTCCTGAAGTGGTATATCCTAGAGTCCATTATCTTTTGTTAATCTTTGACACATGTTTTTGGGACATTTTTTTTTTCTTTGAGGGCTTATTAATAATTTGATAGTATCTTCTATCCCATTATTTCCGTGGACTTTCTTGACTACAGCTTTCACGATTCTTTGAATACTGTAATAATATTGCCAAGCTTATTTGATGCACTTCTTTTGACATGCGGTAATTTTCTTTCCAACATAAAATTCCTTGGAAATCCTATATTCTAATTTGTCTATCAACATGTCTTTTTGGACATCCAGAAGTTATACATCTTAATAACTATTGCATTTGGGAGCATTTCCATAATACTTTCTGGTATTTCACATTTGGCTACTTTTGTTAACCAATCATTGCCAACTGGTATAAAAGTACTGAACGTGTTTTTTGTTTTACATATCTCCCCAATCCGCAATCATTGCTTCTGGTTTCCTCGCAATTGTTGTTAAATCCTGACGATATGTGGGTCAGCAGGAATAGTTTGTGGTTAAGGTGCAGCTATATGATACATATTAAGTTGTAGCACATGTTTAATTGGTTCTGTTTTCACTCGCTACAATGGCTATATTCACTGGAATAGTCTCGATCTAATTAAGAAATGATTGCTGCTAATAAGAATGCGTTTTTTCGTCCTCATGTACACCTGATTTTTTGTTTAATATGTGTTTGCATTCTTCTTGCATGTTCGCGAATGCATTTCTGCGGACTTAATATAATGCCAAGAAGAGTGTCAGATTCTTTTCATCCCGATGCCCCTTTTCGTGCTGTGGGACATGCCGAGGTTTCATGAAGAGGGCCTCATTTTGGAGATCTTTGCGCACTGGAGGAGCGGATGAAGGGGTCTTCAGGGGTTTGACATTGACGGTCTTTTGGGTCTCCTGTGGCTGGCTCTGAGGAAAACCTCTGTGGCACCAAATTTGAGTTCACTGCATTCCACAACATCTTGGGATGAACACCAGGATTGGCTTTGTGTGTTGCTGTTTAGTGCCTGACTGGTGAACATGATTCCACTGAGAGCGTGAAGTCCACTAGGTTGACACATCCAAAGAATTGAAGTTCACACCGCCAAGTTGGTTTCTGGCCAATTATTTTGTCTTTATTTCGTGGTTTTCATGACATCAGATACTTGGACCTGGCTGAAAGGCTTCGAAGCGACGTCCATCAAAACTGCTGCAAGGGAGATAGTAGGCAATGTATGCGATTCCACATGTGTGAAGTGCGAGCAACACTTGCTCAGCACCAAAAAGGCAAGGCCATATTGGATCTTAACAAAACCGTAGAGTGGGTGGAACATTGAAGACCAACATGGACCCAACAAGGAGTCCCTGTCAGTTTCACGCTGTTCCGCAACTGGATTACCGTGAAATACCTCAAATCCACCCACCAAACAAGTCTTGATCGCGAGGGTCATTCAATGAAATCTAGTATATTTTCTCCCTACAAATCCCACCTTGTTGCTCCCACAAATCCCTTTTTCTCGACAACCTTGGCGGACCTTCCATAGATAAACCCCAACAGGTCACCAACATACTGCACCGTGATGCTGTTTGTGACTCTGCCACACGGAACACGCGGACTTGGATTCAGAATCGGATGTTGACATATATAGGTAGTGTCATTGTTTATTTATTTGACTCTTCTTTGGATGCTGGATTCAAATGGCATAATGAAGTTGGGTTGTGTTCTGATTTGTGTGTTGTGATGGGCCGTGAGCGTTCCAGACATGGCAGACTCTACGACTCCCTAAAGCGAGTGACGCATGTGCACCAACACCTGCCTCTGATAAGCCTCCCCTTTGGAACTGGGGTTTCGTCGTTTGTGCGAACGGTTTGACACCGAAATCGTGGACGACATGCTGTTTGTAACGATCAAGACAACCACAAACACGGGGCACAACCCACAGCACCATTGATCAACAAGAGGGGGATATTTTGTGTCTTAGGAATTCTGGTAAATATCGTTTGCAATCATTCAACGAATCCCCTACCCCAAGATGCGAAGAGCGAGCACCAGGATCGAGAGTGCCATGGAGAACACGGTCGCCAGGCACATGGCCAAACTTTGGGAACCGAAGGAATCTAAGTAGCTCCTGGCATTGCTACTAGTAACAAGAAGCTACTAGTAACAAGTGCATCGCTACTAGTAACAAGTGCCTTACTAGTAGTAACAAGGACGCTAGTAGTAACAAGGCCATCGCTACGAATGGAGCGTCCGGACGCTACGAACGGGGCGCTCCTGGCATCGCTACCAACGAAACAAATCGTCCCAATATGTCCCAATTGGGGGACAGACGAGGGCCTCGAGGCCTCGAGGCCTCGTGTTTTGCCCGTTTCGTGTCTCGGGCGATGTTTTGCTCGTCCCGATACAAACGAAGGACATGTACGATGAGAACTTTGTGTGAACTTCGTGTGAGTCATTATCAAATGAACAGATGATGAATAGGTCGTTTTCGTTCTGTACGCTGAAATGGAGCTTTGACGGATTCGACTGGCGGAAAGTGCAGGTCAAAACCGATTGGTCACACTGGTTTTCACCATGTTTGGTTCGGAAACTCATGAGATTGGACAGTGAATCAAGCGGACCATGTGTACGGATCTTGGGATATGCTACATGCAGACAATGGCATGTGTTTATTAATCGGACCCGGGTGCTAAAGACTTCTCTCGAGCAATTGGTTCGACTATCTATCCGAAGGAACCACCCGAACTTCATCCCCAATCTTCGGATCTTTGCCCGTGTTCACCCACCTCATTGGCTAACAAGAAGCTACTAGGAACAAGTGCATCGCTACTAGTAACAAGTGCCTTACTAGTAGTAACAAGAAGCTATTAGGAACAAGTGC